CAGTACCGAGGACTGGGATGAGGTGAGCAATGGGCTGCGACCAGCTGACATGCTTTGGAATTCGGTGTTGGTGTCTGGGGCTCTCATGGAGTATGACTGCTATGATGATCACGGCCGGGATCAAGGTCGTGCAGTCATTCAGCTGCAGAACTGGGATCAAGGAGTGACTTTACCACATCTGCTCGACCCAGAGAAGGGCATGGTGAACAACTTTTGCCCTATGGATGTGGATCAGAAACTTCAGGCCGAAGCTCAGTGGGCCAGCTGCTGGAAAAGCGAGCAGCAGAGCAGAGCAGCAGAGAAAGGAAGGAGAAGAGGCGAGGGCGGAGGCTGGGGCCGAAGCGGTTGAATCTGCTTGGTCGTTTCAAAGTTTTCCCAGGCCCTCTACCCGGGGGGAGGAGGAGCTATGGCAAGAAAAACCCCGGGAAGCTTTGAAAGAACTGACCAGGTACAAGCGAAGGGAGCAGAAGCGAAGACGCCTGGTCCAAGTGCAAGGTGATGGCGTACGTGAGTCAAGTGATTCGCACACAGCACGCACGGTGAGAAGCCGCTGAAAGCCCTTGAGCCACCAAGGGTGGCATACGGACTCGCTACAGAGAGGCCAGAAATAGGGAGTTGGCGGCGGGCGCGACAGGAAGGCCACCCGTGACACAAGTGGTCGGAAGGAGGCAGTGTCAGTTTCCACCCGGAAGGTGACGACCCAGAAGACTCCTATCGTGGGCTCAGGGCCAAAAGAAGTCAAATCAAGGGTGACGGCGGAGATCACGCAATGCAGAGCTGGCTTGAGAAGGAGGATTGTGATGGACTGACTCACCATTGCCCAAAGGGTTTTGCCTTTGCCGCTGTAAGTACTGACCAGCGGAGAGTTCAAGCGGCTAGCAGGGACAAGCAGAAGAAGGAGACGGAGAAAGTGGCCAGGTTGTCAAGGAGAGCTGGGCTTCTGCTCTGGCAAGGGTTGGCAGTGGTGAGTGTCAATATGTTGTGGACTGGCGGAGGGGGCATCATGGGAGCACATCGAGAGCGACGCCTTGGGAAGGATCTGGGAGAAGATGAAGGTGTTTGTTGACGACTGCTGAGAAGCGAAGGGAGTGGGGAGAGGTTGGGGGATGCGAGGATCTCCTACCACGGAGAGATTGTGGAAGATGCTTGCTCAGATTCTTCCAGGACTCGCCACGCGGATATGGAGGCAGTGTGCCGCTGGTGGAGCTTTGCGACGGAGAGCTGCGAGAGAAGCTCCTGAACCCGCTGGGCAATTTGGAAGAGGAGGAGCTACCAGCGGATGCCCCTGAAACTTGAGTGCATGCTGATGCCGACGAGTGGGCCTTGATAGCAAGAGAGCTGGTCACCTGTGGCCTGGCAGAGGCGGTGGCGGATCCCGTGAACATTCGAGGAAAACCTCTGGTTTACGGGGCCTTTGGTGTAGTGAAGCCAGGGAACAATTTGGAGGATGGACGGCTTGTTCTGCGCTTCATTATGGACTTCCGAGGAGTCAACTCTTCCACCATTGTCCTGACAAGAGACGTCCGCAGTTTTACTGGAGCGCCAGCATTGCAACTTACTCCCTCTTGGCTGGAGTTGGATGATGACATGTGGGCCGAAAATCTTGTGGAAGTGCTTGCGGTTCGAACAAAGGGTCGGTGAGGATCGGGCTCCGAGTCCTTTTAATGGGATGGGCGTCGGCTGCGGGGGTGTTGCAGCATGCTCACCGGCGGCTGGCGCTCAGAGGACTCCTAGGCCAGTGTGAAATCAGGCGTGATAGTCAGTTCCCCGATTTGGTTGCGGAGGAGAAGGTGTGGTCTCTGTACTTGTGATGGACGAGCGGGTTTACCAAGGGTGTAGAAGGCAAGCCCGAGGTTGCAAAAAGCATACCAGCGCTGGGGCATCCCCATCAGCTTGGACAAAGCTGTGGTCAGGCAAAAGAAGGCTGAGAAGCTTGGGTGATTGATGGCGAGAGGGGGTTGCAGAGAGGCTCTAACAAACGAGCGTTGGATGCAATCAGCTTGCGATTCTGGGTGCTGAGGCAGAAAGAGGTGCCCAGCGAGACTGAGCTATGAGAAGGGCTGGAGAGAATGTTTGATGAGGTTGTTTTCGATGAAGGAACAGACCCATTGGAAAGGGGTGGGTTTTGGACCCAGAGGCTGAGAAAGACGTGCGAGGTCAAGGCCTCCCGCAAGCCCAGCGGGATTGAATGACTGGAACGGTGGAAGGCGGATGAAATGAAGCTCCCACGTCAGTTCCTCATGCATAACTAGAACCATCTGAATGAGAAGCGTGTGGCATCAGTCACAGAGCGAGAAAGACTGATGGGATTTCCAACTATATATACTGCTGCCCTTTTCAAAAACCTTGTGGGCTTGGATCGCAAGATGGTTGAATCCGGCTGATGGGCCTTCAAGAAAATATGCAAAGGACAGTCCAATACATGGGGACCAGGGCGGAGCGGCAAAAAGAACGCAGGAAGACTGGGCGACTAGAGCATCCAAGAGCTTGACAAGCCACTATTGCGCCGCCAAGACTTGCCGATTGCCGATGGTCAACACATTGAGCAGCTTTGGGAAGATGGGATGGTGACACAAAGACGTTTGCCAACTATGCGGTGGCAGCTATTCAGTTTCACAGACCAGACATCAAAGGTCATCTTACAAAGCCCTGGAAGCTTTTGTCCCTTTGGGGAGAGCTGGAACAACCCCGGCGCGCCACGCCGCGGAGTCCTGAAACGCTACTCGCTTTTGCCGGGACTCTGTACAAATGGGGCTGGGGACGGCTCGCCTACCTTATGGTGGTAGGCTTCTCGTTTGGGAAAAGCGTTGCCTGAAGCCGCAGCAATTGAATGCCTCAGGCGACCAAAGAACATTGTTCAACATTTGGGCTTGGAACAGTTCCACTACTTGCCATATTCGTTGAGACGTGGGGGAGCCACATCAGCCTACAAAAACGGTGCAACCTTTGATTTTTTGCTGGAAAAAGGTAGGTGGAAACACCTAGCTAAAATCCGCGCTGCCCAACATGCCTTTCTGATGGTGATGGTCTTTTCCATCTTTTTGTCTCTTTGCCTGCCACTTTGTCAGATGGCACATTGACCCTGGCATGAAAATGCGCTGACATAGGGTCAGAGGAGGGAGAACGTGAGTGTAATGTATGTATACTCCAATGGGGGGTGCATGCATGAACGGGGGTGCGACCAGAGCTTTTGGCTTCCCACCTCCACCCCATTCACCACAACTGATGGTGGTGGTCTTTTCCCTCTTCTCGTCTCTTTCTGGCTGGAAGCCAGCCACTTTGTCAGATGGCGCATTGACCCTGGCATGAAAATGCGCTGACATAGGGTCAGAGGAGGGAGAACGTGAGTGTAATGCATGAACATACTCAATCCACACTGAACAAACTGCTTTCGGGTCCTATGTGCCCATGTGGCCCTTGCAGTTGGGTGACGGTTAGACTAGATGTCACAATTCCCACATTTTGGTTTATCATACCCCTTACTTCCATGGAATTGGACACCATCAACTTTCACCTGGTTTATATTACTTGCTGGTTCTCAGTAGAGGATTAGGGAGAAAGACCCGGTTCTGAGACATCCCGGATTTCCTTCGAGGGCTCTTTAAGTTCATTCCGAGAACCATTGAATTTTGCATCAGGAGTATGGGTCTTCCCTTTGTGGCTCCTGACAGGTGCCATGAGCGCAAAAGACCCCCTCAAGCTCGAGGAACAACGTGGGGTTTCAATCTCAACTTTCCTCTTCTTTGTCTGTATGTTTCTTTTTCTGTATGTGTGTGTGTGTGTCCGTGCGTCAACTACGCCATTTCAATGAAGGGGCCCTAGCACTGCTGATACACCCCCCCCCCCCCCCCGCGAAAAAACCGGCGGCCGGCCCACGTTCGATGGTTTTACTTCTGCTGAGATCCTGGCCGGCATGCCGGACCTGGTGGTGTCCCTGCAAATGCTGGCGTCCCCCACGCGGACCGTGATCGCCACCTTGGGGGCAAAAGGGTCCCTCGGGCTGGTGGGCGACGGGGAGGCGGGGCCGTGGCGGCCACGGGGAAGGCGAAGGTCCGGAATGCAGCTGGTACTTGGGGGAGCCCTTTTGAGTGGCAAATAATCTCTGGACTTTTTGTTGATCAATCTCAGGAGGCGAGTAGAAAGCTGTCCATGCGTGAATTGGACAGGGATGGAAGTGAGGTAGAGGGTGGAGAACTAATCTGTGCCATCCCCACCCAAGGTAATCATAGAGGTGCGACAGATAAATTGTTGTAGTAAACCATTTCCGTTCTGTCGGGACGACAAGGCAGCTGGAATTGGGAACCTCCAGTCCCTTGCCTTTCAAGCGGAGATGCAAGCAAGAATGGCCAGGATGCGCTGGGCAGAAGACGACGCGATGGTTGCGTTCCCAACGATTCTTGTGCTTGGTGTATGTTTGGCTCTAAACGAAGAAGGAGGGACAATGTTTTTCGACTTCCACCTGCGGTTTGGGCTCACAATCTTAAGGAAATGGCGATCAAGAAACAGGTGTTGGATTGGAAAAGGATCCCATTACATACAGGGGACTAGTAGCCCGCTCCAAAGCGACGCAGGTCCCCGCCAAATGGTCAAAGACGAGGCGGAAGATATTGGAGGAATGTGTTCACGAGTTCACCGATTGGGTAAGACGCAATGTCAAAGGCATAGTAATTAGTGCAGATCCTTCAAACTTGGGGTACAAAAGAATTTAGTCCCTTTTGTAGTCGTTGTCCAAATGGGATGAGGGAAATCGAATCATCGATTAGCTGAACCTCCATTCTGAACAACCCAGCAAGCCGACTGCTGGCAATGTTGACTTGCCCTATTTTGAGGGGTCTCTGCTAAGCGAGTCAACATGATGGTTTCGAAGGATGACTTGAGTCGTGACCGTCGACCAGTTTTCGGCGTTGTTTGCGTTTGGATGCATTTAGGCGGCGGACAATGCCAATGCATTAGTGAGCTTTGTTGGCACTTGAGGCTGACTCGTATTTTCTCCTTAACCTTTTATTGGGGGGGAGGGGGGGGGTTCAAAGCGAAACCAGCAGGAAACCATCCATGTGTTTGGGTTGTTCAAAAGCAATCCTTGATCTTTATGCCAGATGGTTGCAATTTCCTTGTTGTTGTGGTGTCCCACTACGGATCACGGATTGAACATACTTCCCCGTCCCTCATTTGCCTTGTCGCCATGCATCTGTCTCAAGATCAGGGTGCTCGCTTGAAAGGGAAACCAACCAGGAGACCTACCCGGTTGCCCCCCGAATTTGGAGAAACGGCTGGCGATTTCGAGAGGTGATCTTTGTGCCGGCGCTGGAGGTGGATGTGCAAGACACCACCGGAGCGGGGGACGCTGGGCGAAGTGGAAGGGATTGTCGTTTCTGGAAGTCAAAATCCGAGGACATTCAGCTGGTTTTCGAAAAGAACAATGATGTGGACAACGCCTTGAGTCTTACTCCCCACATCAACAAAGAGAGATTTCTAAATGGAGGTTCCCTCAAAAAAGGTGTGGTTTTCATGCTCAGGTCTCGTGCTTTGCAAACCTGCTTGTGGTCAGTGGGAATCAACACATTAACGTTTTGCTGAACTGCATGGGGAGTGACTCCACCCGATGGCGGTAAGATGTGGCATTCCACCGAACGGCATGAATGATCCTTCTTGAGGCTTGAGGCTTCCGTATTTCTATTGGATGACAGACATTGATGGTCCAGGTCTTTCGTTTTCCCTGTTGACATAAAATGATGGTTTAGGGGTGCACAAGTGCCTGCACCATCCGTCACATATTGACCCTTGAAGGCCTTGGCACCTGAGGGATGTAAGGATTTGCTTTCAGCTTTCCGTTTGGTTCAAGACTTAACTGCTGTTGGGTTGGATCTTTAGACTTTAACTTTTTGGTTGAAATCAAGTTGGGTTTTCCACTAAGCCCCCCAAAAGTGAAAAACCTTCTTGCAGGGGTTTCTCAACAGCAAACAAGACATTGGGACCTTTTACCCCCCCCCCCGCAACATTGCCAGACTTTATAGTGTTTTTGTTTTTTTACCCCTTTTGGGTTTGCCTGCTGAGTCTTCGCGGTCTGTGAGGTGAATTGGCTCTGGAGTTGTGACTCTAAGGACACCTACCACGCGGGCTACGCGGTGGCCTTCCTCAGAGGCCAGGGCCTGGAAGAGGCCATGACCTTCGCGACGCAGCTTGCCCGAAGGGGCCGAAACCAGGTTTTTGGGTTCCCAGGGCCCCAAGCGCTTTTGGCAACTTGTTGTTCCAAACTGGTTCCTAGGCCCCAAAGATTGGTTGCAAACTTTTGGCCACTTGTTCCAAACAAGTTGCCAAAAGGCCGCCAAAAGTAGAAGTGAGACCCACCGTCGGTCGGTCTTTGTACTTTTCCCACCCGCTTAGTTACCTTAGTTACAAGTGCTGTGCTTGGACTGCTTTGTGACTACCGCAAGCTGAAAGCGAACATGGTTCAAACAACTATTTGTCATGGTCCCTTATATACAGTGGAGCCCCAGATGAGGTCTATTGAACTCCGGATGTTGTTTTTTGGCACCTCTCCAGTTCCGAGTTCGGGTTCCAGCTTATTTTGGGCTTCCCTTTTTGGGTTTTGAGGGAAAACCAGGACGAGTCCCCCATTTTCACACAGACCAAACCCACCACACCCACCCCCTTTTTTAGGGGTCCGCAGCCGTACGAAGTGACTAGGTGTGGGGGAATAATTTCACTCACAATGATAGTTGGTCCTACTTTTTTGTTTTCAGTTTGGTTCCAAGTTTCAATTTGGTACCCAATCGAGTTTCAGTTTGACACCATTTTGCAGCTTTTCATCCAGAGCAGTTGTTTGTGTTGAAACGCTCAACCCTTTGTTTGGGGTTCTCCATTTGAGGCCCCTTTCGAACCCCTGCTTGTCTTCTTTGAAGGTCTCCGTTATTTCCTCCCCCCAGCCCCCCCCCCCCCCACCCCACCCCCCAAACCGCTGAGGACGGCAGCGGCCGCCAAGTGCACCACGCCAGGCCCCGCAGTGACGCTGGCGGCGTTGCAGCGCTTCGGCCTGGCGCCGAGCTGATCGCTGAGCGCTGAGCGCTGAGCGCGGCTTCCGCCGCCGGGGGCTTCCAACCCATGGCACGTGGGTCGTAACTCGGGAAGCGGGTAACTTGCAACCATGAGTTTCTAACCTGGCCAAGTCCCAGGCCATTTTAAAAAAAAGTTGCAGGACGGATCCAACCGGAAATTGGAACATTTGAATACCGGGTTTTCTGTATGTCGGGTTGCCGCGACCGAAGGAGTCGAGCTCACCATGTCACAGGCTGCATGATCTACTCTCGGTTCGATTTGGTCTGGCGGCTGGCTCTCCCTGAGGGCGATGCCCAAGGCATCGTCAGCACGGGACTTCCTTTTCTGCCGACAGACCGCTGTCGGCGAAGCAGGATCCTAAGGGTTGAGCGGAGAAGCATCGGGTGGGTACAACCACCGAGTTTCAAGTTGTGAGACGAGGGTCGATTGATTTGCTTACGCTGGACAGACGAGCACGTGAGTCCGGGTGATCTTGCATTGTTTCGATTGAATCAACCTAGCAACTCTGAGTGATTGCTTCCAGCTGTGAGCAGCTCTCGGCAACAAGCAACATCCTGACGTACAGCTACAACGTTTGCAGACCAGGGGAAGAAAATGGCCCGAGCAATGTGACTTGCGCAAGTCTTGCATTTATGAAGTATCCACTGGGTGCAAGGGAACAATCTTCGCGCCACATGACGTATTACATTTAATGCCCGTAACAACAAAGTTCAGATCACATCTACCTGCCTACAAAAGCCCAGAAGCTTATTTGCCTTGCCTGCAACACCAATAGCCATTGGGCCCTTGCATTTGTGCCTTTTTTAGGTTCTTCGACCTTCGAATTTGGCAAGACAGGGGCCCCCAGAATAAGCCCTCCACGATTCCTTCTTGCTGGAATAGGCGATAGCCCTCTCCCCACAGCCCCTTGGAGGTCCATGCAACCGTTTGTGATTCCGGGCCGAGGGGTCCGGTTCCAAGTTGCAGCTCGCTGAGCACCTGATGTTCACACCTGGGTGTGTCTTGTTACCCCAAAAAAGGCTGTTTTCCTGTTGGTTTCCTTTACGGCCATTGCCGTTGTCCTGTTGGTTTCCATTTAAAGCCGCCATTTGTGGGTGCCCCAACTCCGACCGGCGCCCGCTTCGCAGGAGGGAGACTGGGGCGAGGACTGGTCTCAAGGCCAAGGTGGGGCGGCCCGAGAAACGAGAAACTGAACCCAAAGCTGCTGCGGTTCGTAAGATTGTGGACCTCTTTTGGTATGGTTGTAAAAGGGAAGTCAAGCATGAAGCAAACCAGGAGGGGTCCGAAATGTTGAGACACCCCACTGTAACACTCTTGGAATTGAAGGCCCGACCGGCTGAGCTTTGGGATCCTGGCTCAAAATGTCCAAGCGCCGTCTTACGGAGGAGAGCCGCAGCGACGGACCTCTTTGGATGCTAGGGTGCAGTTTGGGGTATGCCACAACAGCTGCAAACTTGGCACCTGGACGGGAAGGAGAACCCGTTCTTTGAGGGGTGGATTGCACCCCATGTTTGGAAATTGGCCCAGTTGAAGGCAACCGTCACTTTTTGGCGAGCTCCAACCAGCATTCATCCAAGTTGATTTGTCTACGGGGGCGGCAATCTTATGGATAGCGAGAGCCTACAGTCCCCAGGAAAAAACGGAGCATCCGCCCTGTGATCATCTCCCTCTATCTCAATCACACCGCTGACCTCTTGTAGGATTCAGGTGCGGGATGAATTTGACAGGATCTTAGATGTATCGGGGGCAGTGGGACCGCTTCAAATTCCTTTTGGTTTGCCTGACGTGGCCAACCCAAACGTTTTTTTTCCAGGATCCCTGCATTCTGCATGGGCATGTTTTTTTTTGTTGGGGGGGGGAGGATCTTGCGGCCCAGCCTCTCATCCCCAAAAGCCGGGCACCTCCCAACTCCTTGACGTTCTGAAGCCCCGGACGCGGTGTATTGTTTGGGTGTCCTTTGTTGTCGGTACCCGTTTTAGCATTCTTCAATGGACCATGGTGTAGTCAATACCCAGGAAGATGAGGGGGCAGCACTGCATGCCAGACCAGCATCCGTAGTTTGCTTACCTTTTTGACACTCAAAGGGGTACCAAAGTGTTGCACGCAAGGACAAAAACCCTTTGGAGGGCGGGTCTATTTCTTGACCTCAGAGCATTTCAAGGTACGAAGAGAGTCGAGCCACCTCTGGTTTCCCCCAAAGAACTAGAAACCCCATATCATATTATTTGAGGTCTTTGCTGGTCGATTTATGTTGAGGGTCTGGGGTCTCTAGGGTAAGGTTTGCCAAGCTGCAAAGTCTGTCCTTCTTTGGCGAAACTCAAGGCCCTTTCTAGTTCCGCAAACGGGGGGTGGGTGGGTTCGGATCCCCAGCTGAGGTTGGAACAAGACAGCCAAGGACCGGCCGCCAATGGTGTTTGGCAAGGTGTTCTCTGTTCCCCACGTGCTGGTTTGTTTGTTTTCACAGTTTTTTTGGGTGCCAAGAGAGAGCACTGTCGGACAGACGGACATGCGACAGGTTCGGCATCCAGACCGCCTGAAAGATGTTTCTCTTGTTGCGGGTGTGCCTATGAGGGCGTGGCAAGTCACAAAAGGCCACATGGGACCCCGGAAATTCCTGGCAAGATGCCACTGGGTTCCATTTGCGTTCTTGGCTTGTCTTGTGCTGATACACCATGGGTATCTCTCAAGACGCGGTGTACACCCCTGTGCGACTCCCAAAATGGTGACTGTTTTCTTTTCCTGGATACAGTTTGCAGAAGAGGAATACTTGGATGTTTGGCCAGGGTAGTAAGTGGTTAGCCGACAGGACAACGACTGGGAGGATAATAGCAGCGACCTCAGTTTGCCGGGCTCAAGAAAGCGACCTGTGACACTGGGGCGGCAGTGCAGCGGTACTGGGTGGTGGTTGTAAAAACACATTCAGTGCGCGTGGTGGAATGCTGCGAGAAGAGCGGTTCCCCATCGCCAAGGATAGAGACGAATCAAACAAGTGCCTTTTGGATAATTTAACAACTTGGGCTTTCCATTTATTGACTCTTAAATGATGTCACTACTACCGTGCTTTCTCCGGCAACGATCTGAGTGGCACAGCAACTTCAAGTGCAATGTGCCATACCTTGACAGGTTGACAAGGAAACTAAAAGCAAGCCAACTGCCTGGAGAGGGTCCCTACCGTTTTGCGACGCGGATGCTTGTGTACAGCCGCGCTCCAAGGATGGAACAATGACAGAGGAAGGAAGGGCAGGGGTAGAGACAAGGACGTGCGTGCAAGGGCTGGGTTTCGGGGAGGAAGAATCAGTGTGCAGCCAGTGAGTCTGGGCGCATTACGACGATCTCACTGAACATGGGTGAAACGAGCTTGGGCTCCATGATGAAGGTCAGATTCCATATTTCGGGTGTGTGAGTTAAATTAGTTTGTGCAGGTGCTTTAAACTTGGTGAACGAAAGGATTTGGTGCCCTTTGTAGTGGTTTCCCAGCCGAGACGAATGACATCAGATAAGATATTATTAAGATACAGACGAGAAGACAATAATAATTGCATGTCAAGATACGACCATAAGACAGAACGTTGTCTACAGGAAGTTGACCACCTATCCAAATAAAAGAAAAAAGTCAGAAGCCAAATGCACAGATAAAACCATTAAAGCTACTAGATGCAAATATTATAACATAGAATGAAGGTGAGAGACTTCTCACAAAGGGAAGCATCATGAAGATAGAAGTAAATGAGATAAATGAATCCTGCATTGTTTAGTTGGCACAGCTTTTAACATAGCATATTGGCGTGAGAAATACCATTCAGGTATTATATGCAAAGGAGTTAGTAACTACATGTTTCTATTGCATTATCTGGATGTGAGAAAGAAGAGAACCCGGAGGCAACTTGAAGAAGATATAGATAGGGAATTAATATCTGTCCGTAGAAATCTTTACTAATAATGAAAGGAACAACTGCTAATTTATAATTAGTGGAATTCCTGTTGGATGATTAGAAGATACATGTCGATTACATATGATAAAGAAGAAGCCCACAAAGAAGAAATGGAAATAGACAATGACAGACAAAGAACCTCTTCAATGTTGGACTGTAAACATAATGTCCTCCACAAAGCCATTCTATTAAGGCTGGAATGGGAGATAATAAATTTGTAGTTACTGTAACTTCCCATAAACTCAACTGTCCATTCAGTAAAACATAACCAATAAATGCTGTTCCTATTAAGAAGAAGTAAATAGTAATTGCAGAAAATCAAGTATTAGGATTAAAAAATGTTAAGCATAAGATATAGCTCTTCCAAGATGTTGAAGTACAAAAAGCAAGACACATGATGCACCATTAGAATGAAGATAGCGTAAACACCATCCATAATAGATGTCTCTAGTTAAAATCATAATAATAAAACATGCTGAATTAATATCTGATGTTACATCTAGCGGATGAATCTTTGTTTGGCCACATCTAGAATTACAATCATATTATCGTCTCTTTTATTCCTTCACCTTCCTTTTTATGTTTATCATCTTTGGACTTTTGTCAGTTTCTATATCTCTCTTTCTTGATCCCATGCACATTCTAGAGGTTAAAACGCTTGGGAATACATAGGTGGTTTAATGATTGGGATGCCACGCTCGGTCCCTTCTATAAGATATCTTATGTTCCCTTTGAAAGGAAATAAAGCGCCCACCCCTCCATTCTGAACAACACATCGAAGTCATTGAAGTGACGACCAACCCATGTGTCAATTGCTGAGAAGAGCGAAAGGTTCGACTGCAATGAAAGGCACAGCACCGTCAAGGTTTCCCAGACTTTTCATGTTGAAGTTGGAGTTCAGCGCATGAAGAGGGATGGTTGCCGTTTCCGTCATTGGCCCCAGAGGAGAAGGAGTAAATACAAGTGTGCCGTCGTTTGAGGGTACCTCCCTCTTGCTGGAGTTGTGTTACCTAAAAGGAAAACCAACCATGTTTTCAGGTTTTCCAAATTTTGACTATGACCCTGGATTGACAAGCTCTTTCAACCCGAAAAAGGTGCCACTTTTTGCAGTCCAAGTGGCCGAGGTGTTTTCCACCCTGAAATGTGTTGGCTCCGAGGAAGCAAAAGCTTTGAACTGATTCCTTGCTGACGTGGCTCTGACCAGATCTGGGGTCCGGATGTTTGCGGCGATAGCGAGCAGAGAGCTGCTATGAGCTTGGGCCCCAAAGGTTCTTCTTAGGGATTCCTCGATGTGGGACGGCAACTTGTCGGCAGTGCAGGTACGGTATATTTTGTGTAGTCTCTTCTTTCCGTGGAACCTTAGCTTATCACCCCTTTTCACCGGGTATTTCAGGACAGCAATCTCGGTACGAGTCAAGGGCCCTAAAAGGTTGTCCTTTCATTTCTAGCTTGTCTGTGCAAGTGCGTTATGAGTTTCCGGTAGCAAAGTGCGTCCTGATTGTGCAATGCAACACTCGGCAAGTGCCCCAAGCTTGCATTTGGACCTTTTGCCGTCTCAGCGGTCGATGCAGCCCACATGGTCTCCAAAACGCTCCAACATGAACTCGTTCAAGGAAAGGGCTCGAGAGGAATGTGTGTGAAATACGCCATTGAACACACTCACCCACGTAAACAAGCAACTTATCATGATGAATGATGAACACCTGATAAAGAAGGCAAGTCGAACTGACTTTGATGATTTACTCGTTTTCCGGTGTTTGCCTTTTGACGCCTTGATGAGGGTGCGAAATTTGCAAATGGAGGGGGCCCTTTGGAGAAACGTCGACACGGCCGCTCGTTCTTTGCCTGTAAAGGGGTTTTGGCACATCTCAATCTTCGGACATGGTTGGTCTTCTTTTTGTATTGTGCGACATATCAGGTTCAAGTTTAGCCTTCAGCCTTTGGGACGACGTCTGCTTTCGAACTCTTTTTGCAGGGGTTAGTTGGTTTCGGCTTTGTTAGGTTGCAGTTTAAGGGCAACCAAGGGCAAGCCACCCATATTGGGGGGTACCCCTATTTCTGCTTGACAAGTTCAGTTGCACTACCCCAGGAAGGGGTTCAACTGGACCGATCTCTCCAGGATTACGACGGCTGGGCGAAAGAGGATGACAGCCTTGGGCTCGGACGCGGCGGATTTTTCGTGCTTTTCTCTTTCTTTCTGTTTCTTGGGGGAGGACTCAGGGAGCCTTAAATTTATCTTGTTTGGTGGTTTGGACATCACCTTTTGGCTATTTGAAAGTGACTTTTCTTTGGTAGGTGATCTTGAAAGCGGATAGTTGAGGAGCGCCATGTAACTGGGAGCCATGATTTAGATCAACCTTCAGGGGCACCTCTTTTTGGAGGGTGCCGGGCGAATTTTCCAATTGGGACTTAGAATTGTAGTCACTGGGACTGGGCAACTTGTGCTGACTATACCAAAGGGCGTTTGCAACGGAAACCAGTGAAGGTTTTCGTTCGTGAACTTTGAGATTGGCCATAGCTTGCATGAGATTCGCAAGGGCTTTGCCGGATCACGCGATGCTTGCTTCAATTGCTTCCAGGGCTGGGCTGCAATTGTGACCCGTGCACAACGAGCAATTTCGAGTGCTCAGATTCTCCGAATCTGATCCTTTGAATTTCGACAAGATGAGCCTTTGGCTCTCGGCCTGGAGGCTCACGTTCGTCAAGTCCGCCACAATTAGGCCACCTTTCCGGGGACCGCTTTTGGTCTTCTGCAGAATTCCTAGCTCTCGCTTTGGACGCCGAGACTTCTCAAACAGGCCCGACCTCTCACACCTTCTTGTGGATGCAGACAGTCAAAGCATCGCGCAGATCAACAGTGCCATGCAGATGTTTGACAAGAAGAAGCTCCAAGTTTCGGTTTTTGCATCCCCGCTTCGCAGCTAGAGCAAGAAGTGGCGACAGTTGCTTGAGTCTAAACGCATAGATTTTCGACCAGTTGATCGGGTGGGAGGCACCTTGCATCCTACAGACGATTGGCCGCATAGCTGTGCTGACCAATGACAGGGGCTATGTTGAGCTTGTGCGGAACCTCACATCAGGCAAGGATGTGGTGATCGTGCCGAAGCTGCAGTCATATTCGGCCAGGCCGCTGTACGAGGCAGAGCACGCCAAAGTGGGCTTGGATGCACTGAATGAGGTGCTGCAGCGAGTCCAAGCTGTACTTGAAGCCGATGGGTCAGGAAGCGTCAGCTTTTTGAAGCTGCCTTTTTACCATTAGAGGGACCATTCGAGGAACTTCCACAGCTTGGATGCTTTTCGGAGCGCTCACGCTCTATGTGTGTGATGACGAGACATCTCTGGTAGTGCCTATTGCAAAGTTCTGGCAGCAACATGCACTTGGCCCTCTTCCAGTCTTTCCAGGAATTCTTGCACTCTCCAGCACGACGGACACCCCATCATGGAACAAATATCATCCAGAGGCAGCCTTTTGCTGCCCTTGAGTGGGCATAGGTTCAGCATTTTGTGAATGGAAGCATCAATGCCAGACGCATCTTTCAGGGCGGCGGGCCTTTCATGCTCCCCGACTCCGAAAGTTTGACGATGGACAAGGCTTGGATACCTGGATGATGCCCTCTAGCCAGACCTTGCTGAAGGCTCGATGGTGTTTGCCAACAATACCAGGAACAAGCAAAACCTTCGCAAAAGGACAGCCTTGCCAGAGCCTGGTGACACTTGCAAGGATACAGAACACAAGATTCACAGAGCGCTGTTGTCAAGCGCAGGGACCTGGGAGGTTGCTCCAAGTGACAAAAGTGTGAAGCAACTGCTTGTAACTCTCAAGCTTCTTCATTCTGAAGATGATCCACGAGAACGGGTCTTTGACGCCATGAAGCAATACGCTCAGCGCAAACAGCTTGCTGGGATGAAGACCTACAACGGCTATGCCTGGCAAATCAACCACCACTGCAGACAGTGCAGCCGCCTTGATGCAGATCGGCGAGATGTTATTGAAAGCGCGAGTCCCGTTTGATTTCAAGTTCTGGCGCCGCTTTTGAAGCGCTCCGGCGACAAACAGAAGGCGCTTGACATTCGGTGCGCGCCATGTTGTTTTTGACATGGGTGCTCAGACCTCACATCACGAAAGATGACATGCTTCAAGCTTTACCGGTTTCGGATTGTACTACACAGAGCTGCACAGAACGAAACACGTGATGATAGATGCAGTTGATTGCGAACAAAACTACTCCTGTCGCGCATGACATTTTGTCAGGCTGACCCAAGATACATGTTTCCGTGCAGGTTCGCCTTGACCGTGTCCAAGACTTGTTTCAGGCTGAACACATGCCACATCACAATAAGCACATCCCCAAAAGCATGTCAAGGTTCGAGACCATTCCCATTCGACCCTTCATCAGCCTTAAAGCCAACCAACATCAATGCCGTACCAGCCCCGAACCAGCCCTGCAGCCAGCCTTTGCTGACGGTTTGGGATTCCTTATTGCCATCACACACACACACATCAGCCTGATCTGAAACTGTTTCAGCAGAGGAAGCCATGGATGCAGCTTAGCGCGAACAAGACGAGGGAAGTAGAACAACCAGAGGGCATTGGGCCGAACATGTACATGAGTTGGATCATTTGCCCCCTCTTTGAGGAAGTAAGCCTAGGCAACCTTGGTGCTAAAAAGCAAACATTGTATGTCCTTTATATACAGGAAAGGGGACGGATAGTTGTTTGATCCTTTGAGACCCCCTATTTGACACAGCAACGAGACAGTGCGTAGGTCCGAACGTTGCCGGGCATGTGTTGCACGTGTTTGGCTGGACGTGTTCGCTTGAGGATGGGGCGGCCGGGAGAAGGACTCTCGCGGGCGTGTCTTTGTCAGGGAACCAGCTTGGGGCAGGGATGGGATTTTTGTTGCTCCCTTTTAAGTCTTTTTTTCTTCTTTAAATGTTTTTTTTGGGAGATGGAAACAAATCCGAACTTGAATGTGCCTTGTCTTGCCGGGCAGTCAACTGGAAGAGGGGCCCAGCTGGTTTTCAATTTCATGGCACAAGTCTCGTTCGTAGGTGCACCTGGGTCATAAGTAGCAGGCTTAGGTTCACTTGGGGGGCTTGCAAGTGGGTCATTACCTAAGTTACCGACAACTTACCACCTTGGCCGAGCACCCAAGGAGCCACACGCCCCTGGGCAAATTGCCATACCGAAGGAATCCTTGCCAACATTTGGGCCAATCAAGCGCGGAAGCAATGCATTCTCCTCTAGTTGAGAATCCTGAATGGCTATTTTAATCTAGTTTGTCTCAAAATGTTTGAGAGTTCCAGAAGGGTTAGTTTCGCTTCGGTCTCTCAAATGATCGCGGTATTCGTACCCTTTTTGCCTAGCTGATGGTGTGATTTGAGGCTTTGCACAAGCCCTTCCCAGGATTTTGAGGATACTTGGGTATGTGTGTTTTGATGGAAACGCTTTTTGATCGACGTTCAAGGGAAACCGAAAAGGAAATAACCATCTTGGGCGTTCCCTAAATGTTGAGACCCCTCCATCTGGAGCAAAGCATAAACTGGCGACTCCTGGCACGCTAGGAGAACTACAATGACTGGAAGGATGATGATCAGAGTTTCGGCCTTGGCTTCAAGCGCTTGGGTCCGCTTCAAGGTAGTAAGTTGCTAGCAGGCTAGGTTCCAAGTCCCCCTAAGCTACTATAAGTAGTTATAACCCAGGTGGCTAATCACCTTCCTACTTGGCCAAACATCCAAGTAGTGCCCCACAACGAGAGATTCACATAGTATCACTTTTGTGCCAGCGCCCACGGACAGCGAAATGTTGGAAACTAGACTAGCGCATCCTTCTTTTTCATATGAGTCACTGACAAACTTCGTGGTCTACTGTCAGCTTGAGTTCCCAGAACACGCACCTGGGCGGCCCTATGTTCCCTTGGGCTCACATCATGCTCCAAGCATTGACGGCAAGAGATTGGCAAGACCTCTGAGAAAGCGGCAGCGGCGATATGCAAATGTACAGTCAGTTGCTACCAGCTGTAGGGGCCCATGGGGTTGTGGTGGGTGCCTTAAGATTAAATTGAGTCAAGATCATAAGAGAATAATGCGTACTTATTCAGTCATGAACGGCCAAACACCACAGAACTCTGGTCATCTTTCCGGGCCGAGTTGCTGCAGTCGATTTCTCGGATGACTTTTTGAGAGCATGTTGGGCTCAGCAAGTCCTAGGGACTTCATAAGGGGTGGGGACCTCACCTATGAAGGCTCCGTGCGTGAACCCTGGTCGCTTGACGTTCCGCTCATAGTAGCCCGAGCACCCCCAGCACCTATTGAGATGGGGCGATGCCGGGAGGGGAGGTGGAGGCATGGGTTTCATGATTTTGTATCCAATTTTTTGACACACAGGGTACTTACATATAGTTTTGACACACAAAGTTTCCGTTTGGTTTCCTTTTCATCGCATCCAAAAGAGAATGCTTGGGGTCCGCGGTCTCTTTCTCATCCGAGGCTGGCAAAGACGAGACGCCGGCAGAGGCCGAAAAGACGAAGGAGCGGAGCTTCAGGTGTGCGAACATTTGAGGATTGGCATTCTGACCTTCCCCCATCCCCCCACCCCTGTGTTTGCTTTTTGTGGGGCTCCTAGTTTTCTTGACCCCACTTTCACGAGTCCCCGTCTGTTTTGGTTATATAAACATAAATAACCTGCGGGAAAATGGTGGGCGCGGGGACCATGCCGTTCTGTGTGCGGGAGTTGTAGCCCGACTAGTGTTGACCGGTTCTGTTCATGGGCGAGTGTTCTCTCCAAAAGTGAGGAAGCCCCACAAGGGGACAAGCACCTATGAATCAAGCAGTTTGTGTGTTAAAGCCGGGGTTCCCATTAATCACATGCTTCCGGTTTTCAGGCCTCTTTTCAAGAGCTCTTTGACTCTTTGGAGCAGGCCTCGGCTTTGGAAAAACAGACCTTTGGGTGGAAAGAGGAGGGGTGACAAGGTGATCCCCGCTTTGCCAGCCAACTCCATCCTTGAAAACTGGGTTTTGGCTCATTCTCTCTCCCCAAAGTGACAAGGTAGAGGGATTCCATCTACCGAAAGGGTCTGATTCCCTCGGTCATGAGTTGCCCTTTCACTGAAGTCGCTTGGCAACAAGGGTGCCCTTTACCCAAGGTGCCACTTGCCCTTTGCTGCAGGGTATGATTCAACCATGAACAAGGAGCGATTTCCCTCTCCTTGCAGTTGAGGGCCCATTGCGAGCATGTGGTTGAATGCTTCAGAAGGTTTGACGCACTCCGTCCCTCTGCTTCAGCCCCTTTTCAAGTGCTGGTTCATTCTTCTGATTTTTGGAACGGCGAGCTCGCTACGGGCAAGCGAGCTCACAATGATGAAAGTCCTTTTCTTGGAGATCCAATTCTTATTTCAGGTTGTGGAATTATTGTGGATTTTTTGCAGATTCTTTCGGGGTTTGCGCAAAGTCCTCTGCCTGCGCAGGATATGGCGGCTGGGGCCGCGAGGCGGGAAGTCGCTTCGGAAGAGTCCAAGCACTCCATGGGAAGCCCAGTGGATTCGGACCGGGACCAACAAAGAGAGACACCCCCTTTGTTCAACTGTCGGTTTCGGATGGGTCCCAGGTTTGAAATCAACGACCACCAAATGGTGTCCGTTTTTCTCCTGGACCGCTGGACACGCAAGCCCAAGGACAGCAAAATGATGGGACCCGCATGGGCGCCGGTTTCTGTGATGCTAAGATGGGTTCACGGTGCGTTTTGCGGCACAACGGTTGGCTTCCGGGCAAAAATCATCTCTCTCTCGCTCTCTCTCAGAAGTTGGGCAGTGCATCCTTGTCTTGCATGGCTGCAGCCGCGGCAATGTCAACATCCTGGCTTGTTCTCAGTTGTCCAAAGCCGACCTTTCAACTTTCCGGTTTTTGCCTTTGTGGTTCATTCTTAATCAAGTTCCCCAAAGGTTAGCGTTGTGTTTCCAGGCTCTTTGGGCTGGTGAGTGCGTCCTTTTGCTTTCTGAAGACGTTCCTACCGCAGCCAGCAGATAGATCGTTATATGACGCATGGGCGTTTTCCTTCAAAAGCCATCCAAGAAAGGTCCTGTGTTTGAGATGCAGTCTGCTGTCGGTTTGGGCCCTTTCGGCAATTCGCTCAGGACCGTGGCTGGGGCCACGACGACAGGGGCGCTTGGGGCCCTAGGCTTGCAGGTGTTGCAGGGGCTAAAATCTTGTCGAGAGAGATTATGCAAATGGAGATTTATGAAGTTATTGCATAAACATAGGAGTTTTAGGTTGCTACTTTCTTCGGAATCTCGACAGTGCGACATGGGTCTTGAAACTAGTTTTCCCCCTCGAAGAGGAGGATTGTCTTTCAGAGATCTCTCGTCAGCTTCATGGTGGGAACGCTCCAGAGCAAGGGACAGACCCCAAAGTCTTGGGAAGTTAAGGGATTTTTTGGGGGGAAGGAAATGGCAAGGATTTTGTTGCCTCGGAGAAGCATTGCTGCATTTTGGATGTTCATTTGGCTTTGGCTCAAAAAACTTGGCGGTTCCCCAGCTGTCCCCTTAGGTTGTTAGGCTTTTAAGATTTTGTGGTAGCCCACTTAACCCACAACTGTAAACATTTAGTAGGAGATCTGAGCACAACCCAGACAATGGCCCCCAAAATGGCTGGGAACAAAGGCTAAACCCTGCAGTTTACCTCAGCTGTTGATTTGTTGAGCCACGCCCATATATGATTTTTGCGAGAATTGCTGGGCTTGCCACTTCAAGCGGCTTGAACCCATTTTTCCAGCCTGAGGGCTACAGGGGCTCCCGTCACGACGAATGGGCGGTGCACTGAGCCGGCGGGTAACCAGGGCTGAGCAGATTTTGGGATATGACTTGGTCTGGGCCCGTGCTGAACAGCCCATGTGCGACTGTCCTAAAACGACACTTGGGAATGGGACTTGGCAGGTTGGAAACCTTGGTTTTTTTGGGTGTTCCTTTTGTCCAAAACGAGAGGTTCCTTTAGGACAGACCCTCCATGTTTGATAGT